AATTAGATTTATTATCATATAATTACTTTCGATACGTCAAGAACTAACGATTAATATATTGAAATAATTTGCTATGTGAAAATTGAAATCTTTTGAGCTTATAGAAAAAGGATGTCTAACATTATTGTGCTAATGATAGAATGAATTTAAGTTAAATCTAAAAATTTAATAAATTAAAAAATTGAGGTGAATCGTGAACATTACAATTTACTTTGTTGGGGCCCAAAATCAAATCAAAATTGAAAGTCAATGGGCAAACATTTGGAAAATAGTTTTTGTTGGTGTACAATGATTAGGGTGTTATAATTTTTACACTCTATAATCATTGTACAAATGAATTTTTCCTAAAATATTAGGGTCTTGTATGAGAGGAATTAAAATTGAAAATATAGTCGTTATTGTTGACTTTTATTAGACGAGTGAAACTCAATAACGATCATATTTTCAATTTTAATTGAATTTTAATCACTCTCGAACGGGGCCTAAGTATCCCACATTGAAAGTCTTTGCTACAATTTGAAGGGAGTGCATCTATAAAACCAGCAGGCCATCTAAGGGTATTGATAGGCCTTTGACTTTAGCGCGTGGGCACAATAATGAAGTCTAAAAATTTTAAATTAATTTTTTTTTATAAAAAATGGAAAACCTTTATCGGTTTGCGGTCAAATTCGTTGGTTTCATGGTTGGTTTAACGATTTTGTTATATTCAATTAATAACAAATGATTGGCTCGTTTCCACCGTCGAACTGAATGGCTGGATCGATGTTAACAACATTGGTTACGACTACGAGTTAATTATTCCAATGGTCAATGAATTTATGTGTATGTATTCAATTGTCCACTGAACTTTAAAATGTCGAGATTTGGTCAACTTTTAAAAATGTTGGACGTTATTCACTGATATAACTTTCGCTTAAAATCTATAGCGGAATTGGTGATATGACTAACGGGATGCACATGTAACGACCTTCACACCATTGAACTTTGAAATAATCAAATTTTGAACAATAAAGTTTGGAAAACGTCTTTGATTACTCATTAATTTTTGAAATTTTCTATTACTCACTGAACTTTGAGATAGTCGAATTTTGGCAACTAAACTTTGAAAAACGTTTTCTATTCCTCACAATAAATTTGGGTTTAATTAAAATTCATTGTTAAAGTTTGGATTAAAATTAAAATTTAATTTAATTCTAACTATTGTTTATTTTGTTGTAAATTCAAATATTAAAATTCAGATTTAATTTAATTTTAATAAAAAATTTATTGTATATTTCATTTTAAAATTCAAATATTATAATAGACGGCGCTTGCAAAGTTGTGCAAGTGACTACTAATTGTAATTAAATACATAATAAATATTTTATTAAAATTGAATTAAATTTTACTTTTAATATTTGAACATCGAAATACACAATAAGTCCATGTTTGGTCGGGGTTAAAATCAATTTTTAGCATATTTTGATAAAAGTTGATGAGATATATTGTTGAAAAGTTGTGGGTCTCATAACCCCCGTTTGGCCACCATTACAATTATAATCAATTTTTCTCTTTTCTTATCAATTACATATTTTTCAATAAAATAATATTAAACGTAAACCCAAAATTTTTTCTTCTTTTTTAATCACACATTTTTCAACAAAATATTATTTCAAAAATTATAATCTCAAATAATGGGGACCAAGTGGGTGCATAAATACATGGTTAAAATTAATTGTTGAATTTGAGTTTGAAAAAAATCTAAATTTTAGTTCCTACCAAACATGGATTAAGCCCTTGTTTGGTATGGATTAAAATCAGATTTTTAATAGATTTTACAAAAGTTAATGAAATATATGGTTTAAAAGTTTTGAGACCCATGAAATGTGTGGTTAAAATAAAATAAAAATTAAAGGGTGCTCATTAATATTAATACTTTCTTTTCTCGAAACATAGATAAATACCAGTGTTCTAAAATGCGTAATGCGTTGCGATGCGTCGAGGCCGAGAATCAAGAATCACAAGTTTAGGCGTGTCAATGCGAAGAATAAGCGCCATAATGCGTTTCGTATTTTTAAGGCATTAAATATATTNAATGCGCGCCTAGGCGCGCATAATGCGGGACAATGCGCTCCTAGGCGGGCCTATGCACGCGCATTTTCGAACAAAAAAACCCAAAAACGCATTTTCCGCGTATTCCCCGAATTCGACGCGTTTTTCCCACGAGTCGTGCCTAGGTGGCGCATTTCCGCGCCTTTTAGAACACTGATAAATACTCGATCTAAAACGATAAATATAATAATGGTTGTTGAAGAAAATGTCTATTTAAGGTTGTGGTATGTTTCCGAATGTTACCTTTCAAGTATACACAATATTTACGAGACATTAAAATTTATTATAAACTCGATAATGTTAATAAAGGCTTATTTATTTTCTAGCTATTAATGTATCAACTATTTATAATATATTAAATATCGTATAAAGTGAGAACCATTTTTTTGGACAATTCTGACTTTACTATAATTCAATTATTTTAATAATGCATTACTTTTCGTTTTTCAATTTGTATTTAATTTATTTAACTATTTAGTTATCTATAATATATTAAATATCATATCGAGCGAGAATCATTTTTTTGGACAATTCTAGATTTACTATAATTCAATTGTTTCAATAATACCTTACATTTCTTTTTCAACATGTATTAAATTTATTTAATCATTTAGTTACCAATAACATATATGTATATTTCAATTCATTTCACTTATGTGCTTCTATTAATGTATTGATTTCTTATTATTAATTAACATTTATATTCATTTAATTAATATTCATCTTAATTTATACATTTCAGTGTTATTAGTTTTAATTATAAGTTAATTAGAATTTCACATTCAATAATGCATTTCATTAGTCATAACCATACATGCTAATTAACATCAAGTTTTACTTAACTGAAAATTAAATAAATGGTTTAACATTCATTGTCACGCATATATTTATTGGTATATTCAAATATTATTTTTACAGCACTTATAAAGCATTTTATAATAACATGCAATGCACATTCAACATTTACTAATAAAAGAAAAGGGGTAATTAATTAGGTCATGTACCTACTTATTTTTTTCTAAATATGTATTATTTTTAAATTTTATGAATGTTTTCAAATTTACTGACATGTTTTATAATCACTTTTTTTAATAACACTCTTCGAATTGTCTCAATTAATTTAATAGATCTTAACAGTTTTTCCTAATTTTCATGGATATAAATTTTTCTTAATTTATGGGATTATTTCACACTGTTCGAAAATCTTAATTTTTAATAACTACCACAATATAATGTCTCTCTTTTATGACTTAATCATAATTCTAGACATTTCATTGTTACGAGTAATCTGTTATTTGGTTCGATGCATCGTCACGTCGATTTTGCATATATCTAAGTAATGTTTCTAGACATTGCTACTTAATGCACGATTATTAATTCAAACTTTGTTGTCTACTATTCATCCATGTTACTTCTGACTTTATATCACAGACATTTATCTAATGTGTTACGATAAATGTTTTGA